AGTCCTTCCAGAAAAGAACAAACTCCGATAAAACACTCTTACGCTAACTTAATCTGGAAGTGGAATAGCAAAATCTCGGTAGGTTCCCTTTTTTTCGAATTTTTTCCCTCCTTCCTTCCTTCCTTCCTTCCTTCCTTCATTACTTCCTTCCTTCCTTCATACTCATTCCTCTTTCTTTTGTCATTCTCTTATTCTTCTTTTTCAATCTTTTTCTTCTTTTTCCCCCTTTTTCCTCTTTTTCCTCTTTCTCCCCTCTCTCTTCTTTTCATCTCCCCTCCAATTCCTTAAAGATAATGTTAACCACCAAAACTTAAGGATGATCATTTTTAGGTAATTTCTTCAAAGTTAGTTTAAAACGAGGCTATTTTATCATTTCAATGAAACGTGATTTGCCAGCTTCTTTAGTCAAACTAAGAACTGGGAGTGAATGTATAGTAGTATCCCGTCTACGGACCAATGATGAAGAATACGTCAAAGGTCGATCTATCCATTTAATATGGTAGTGTACTGTACTTTTCATAAGTAATGTACTAATTATTTTATTCCGGTTGGACTTAAAGTGTCTGGAAGCGTAATTTGAATTTCAAGTGACCTTCCATTTAAAAAGTCACAATTGTCCGTTTCACAACGTTGCCCTAAAAAGCTTTATCTAATTAAGTAAGAAATATAATTCCATGTTCACTATATTGAAAACTGATTATTTTCGAGGGTACCGTTATGAATCGGAAATGCCCGCCTTTAAATGGTGGGTCACTTATTTGAAGCTACAACGACAGTCCATTTATCCTTTGTAACCATTGTCTAACCGATAATATGTAGGATACCATCATGTTTCTGGTGTTTCAAGAATTTTAATATTTAAATGTCTTTCAAGCTGAAAGGCTGAAGTCACTTTTTAGAGCAACCAAAATTGAAATATTTAATTGCAAAGAGAAAATGATGAATATCTCATTCATTCATTATCAGACAAACACTTTAAGAATATCGTTGTGAATCGCCCCTTATTAAAGGGAAAGTCACTTTAAATTACGTCTACAGTTCCTTTAACCCTTACTCCAACAATACCTGGTTTCATAAATGTGTCCAGTCTTAGGTTTCAAACTTTAGGGTCTTAATAAGTATATTAAATACTTGATCTTAAAATATTATATTTAATAAAACATGGTTTATTGATTCTAATTGCTCTGGTTCCCACGGAACATTAGGCTCGGACAGTTAGACTCTTTTACGGCCGATTGATTAAACTGTATCAGGGTGTTACCTTCGGATAATACAGGGTGTTACCTTCGGATAATACAGGGTGTTACCTTCGGATAATACAGGGTGTTACCTTCGGATAATACAGAGTGTCCCAAAAAAGGATTCTTAAGGGTTTTAGTCTTTTTTGATGATTTTTTGGTCCTTACTTTGGGTAACATTTTAACCCTCTACATTACAAAGAATGTGTCTGATGCATAATATAAGAAAAAATTTCATGAGCATCAAAGGAGAACTACATGAGTATCAAAGGAGAACTACACGAGTATCAAAGGAGAACTGCATGAGTATCACAGCAGAACTGCATCAGTAACATAGAAAATTTCATGAGTATCAAAGGAGAACTACATGAGTATCATAAGAGAACTGCATGAGTATCATAGAAGAACTGCATCAGTAACATATAAAACTTCATGAGCATCAAAGGAAAACTACATGAGTATCATAAGAGAATTGCATGAGTATAAAATGAGGAATGCATGAGTATTATTGGAAAACTTCATGAGCATCAGAAGAGAACTGTATGTGTATAAAATGAGAACTGCAAGAGTATTACTGGAAAACTTCATGAGCATCAGAAGAGAACTGCATGTGTATAAAATGAGAACTGCAGGAGTATTACTGGAAAACTTCATGAGCATCAGAAGAGAACTGCATGTGTATAAAATGAGAACTGCAGGAGTATTACTGGAAAACTTCATGAGCATCAGAAGAGAACTGTATGTGTATAAAATGAGAACTGCAGGAGTATTATTGGAAAACTTCATGAGCATCAGAAGAGAACTGCATGTGTATAAAATGAGAACTGCAGGAGTATTGTATGAGTAGAAAAGGACCGCGGAAAGATTAAGAAGAAATATAATGTTGTGGTATCAGTTTCACCAAAGTTAAATTCTAATGAACGAGCTTATTGTTCTCAGATACTAGGATTCATTATAGGTTCAATATCTTTCAGAGCTAACTCACTTTTTAAATTCTTTTCTTTTTAAAACGGCTTTCTCGCCTTTTCTTAGGAATCATGAACCTTCTTGGGTAAAACAAAGAAAGGTTGAGTATCCATACCACTATCTCTAAGAACCCCCTGAGTAAAGCATGAGCAGGGTCCTATCCCTTCCTCCTAGATCCCGGAGTAAGTATTCTGAAGGGTCCTAGAAATGATTGGAAATGGACCTATCCCTACCTCCTGGACCCCCCCCCCCCCATAGCAAAGGATGGAAAAGGTCCTATCGCTACCTCCTAGTCCCCCCTGAGGTAAGAATGGAAAGGGTGGGTTCCAAAATCTCTACGTGTTGCACATAATTAGAGAGCGAAGCATAAGAAATTCTTAATTAGATCCTGGGGCCCGTGGAGGACCTTTAAACTAAATCTTAATTATACATAATCACATATATGATGGAATCTTAATTACACTCAGTCACACTCCCCTACTCTCACACTGTGTGATTATATCGTGTAAACTGTATAGGTATATTTATCATTGCACTTAACCACTAGAACAGCCTTGTGCAAATATTATTTTACTTTTCAGCATTCAGACAATTTCATAAATATTGAATCAATTTCTTTAGATCTCAAGTTTCCAGAATATTCTCAATTTGTCAGAAAATTCGCAGATTTATGTTTTAGCAATTTTCATACATCCATTGAATCTTTCGAAACACAGATATTCAGCAAAATATATATTTCTTTTAAATATGTAAGCTTTTTCCTGAAAATAGGTCGAGAGCTAGAAAACTGTGGAATGGGAAGACGAAGTTATAGCAATTCTTTCGTGTATTTTATGTTGTTACAAAGCAAAAAGTTAATTTTACTAGTAACTTAAATCAGTTATTAAGATTATGGGTTCTGTTTTCACTGCACAATTGCTGTGTCTTATGTTCATTAGTCTATTTAAAGTCATAACTTGAGTCTAAAAGTCATGTTTCTATTCCAGAGTTTTTGCTGTTCAAAAAGAATTTGTATAATTCAACTTTTAGAATTTATTGTCGTGTGAGAATGATGTATGGGTAGAAAGTTGAACTGATGAATCAGAAGAAGTCTCGCAATTGTATATCTTCTGTGAACCTGACAATCAGAGATTGGATCTGTGTGCGGCATTTTGTTTACGTCTGCACTCCCTCGCCATTTTGATGGATGAGAGCGAATTAGAAACAACAAAACATTTTGCATTAAATGAAATATATTTAATGAACATAATCCTTTTAAGTGCAATTAGTCCGAATTTGATATTTGATAAACTAATATCTAAAAACAAGAACTGACTTGCAGTTTGTTTGGAGCTTATAACAACGATATTTGATTTTCGATACTTGTTTTCTTTAAATTTAAAACTTAATTATTTTCTAATATTTTCCGATCTCTGAATATGTTTTTTATGCAAAATTTTCATGAATTATATTTACTATTACTGAAACATTTTTATAAAATTGTCTGAATAGAAAATATTTCTTTTGTACTGAACTCTGAACCTTGAAGACATTGTGGAAAATAGATATCAATCAAACATATTGGATAGTGGATACATACAATGTATTCTAGGATGGGAGGAAGTAGATAGTGGATACATACAATGTATTCTAGGATGGGAGAAAGTAGATAGTGGATACATACAATGTATTCTAGGATGGGAGGGAGTAGATAGTGGAAACAAAGTTTTCTAGGACAGAAGGGGGTGGATACAATATATCCTAGGATGAGAGGGAGTGAATACTTTGAATCCTAGGATGAGAGGGAGTGGATACAATGACTCCTAGGATGAGAGGGAGCGGAGACTATGAATCCTAGGATAAAAGGGAGTGGATACAATGACTCCTAGGATGAGAGGGAGCGGATACTATGAATCCTAGGATGAGAGGAAGTGGATACTATTAAGATTTCAAGGATTAGATGTAGTGGATACTATGACTCCTGGGATGTGAGGGAGTGGATACTACGACTCCTGGGATGTGAGGGAGTGGATATCAGATCATGTTACAAGGAGTCAACGTAAACCTTTCAATGGGTTAATAGTAAACATAAGATTAGATACCGTTGACTAAGATTACCCTATCAGACCCATCCGTCCTAATAACATCATACCTTTGTTTTCCAGGTGACCCCTCCCCCCCTCCAGGCTCCCTCCCCCACACTTTGGTCCATCTTTGATTTTGTGTTCTTGATAATTAAACTAATTTTGAAGTGTTTTAAAGGGACTGTCGATGTAATTTCAAGTGGGTCACCATTTAAAGAGAGACATCTCCGATTCACAACGGTACTCTTTAAATCTTTATCTGCCAAGCAATAAGAAAGATATCTCCGTTTCTCCATCTTAAAGAATGTTGAATTCTGTAAATAATGTTCTTGGACTCGTGCATAAAATTAGCAAGTCACATTTGTAGAGAACTCCTAATTAGAAGTTAGAAATATTTAGATAATAAAACGAAGATATTTACAAAATTTCTGCTCAGACCGTTGTTAATTGGGAATGTCACTCGAAAATTACGTCTATAGTTCCTATAAATTACAAACGTACGCTTGTAAATGTTCATTCAATCGGCACTGCGTTCAGGAAGTAAAATTGATTCAAGACTTAAGGTGCAGATTAGGGAGAGTGATGAAGTGCGACAGGAGAAGGGAGATCAAATATGCAGGGGAGGGAGATAAATTGCGCAGGAGAAGGGAGATCAAGTGTGCAGGGGAGGGAGATAAATTGTGGGGGGGGGGGTTCGATATAGAGAAGGGTCTCATATCTGTAAGAGATAGTCTTTAATCTTTAAAATAACATTTATTTCAATGTTTTTCTCTGAACTCAAGTCAGACGAAATATTTATTGTAAATGATGTTGTTTTTCTAAACTTCGAGCTTCTGCCGCAGATTCAAGATAAGATACACTTTTTAATCTGTATCCTTATCATGCTTTATCTTCACTCTTCCTCCGTATCAATTTCTATCCTGTATCCGTCTCCTCTGATCCTCTCTGTATCAATTTCTTTCCTGTATCCGTCTCCTCTCTTACTCTCTGTATCACTTTCTATCCTTTATCCGTCTCCTCTCTTACTCTCTGTATCAATTTTTATCCTGTATCCGTCTCCTCTCTTCCTCTCTGTATCACTTTCTATCCTTTATCCGTCTCCTCTCTTACTCTCTGTATCAATTTCTATCCTGTATCCGTCTCCTCTCTTACTCTCTGTATTAATTTCTATCCTGTATCCGTCTCCTCTCTTCCTCTCTGTATCAATTTCTATCCTGTATCAATTTCTATCCTGTATCCGTCTCCTCTCTTCCTCTCTGTATCAATTTCTATCCTATATCTGTCTCTTCTCTTCCTCTCTGTTCAATTTCTATCCTGTATCCGTCTCCTCTCTTACTCTCTGTATCAATTTCTATCCTGTATCCGTCTCCTCTCTTACTCTCTGTATTAATTTCTATGCTGTATCCGTCTCCTCTCTTCCTCTCTGTATCAATTTCTATCCTATATCTGTCTCTTCTCTTACTCTTTGTATCAATTTCTATCCAGTATCCGTCTCCTCTCTTCCTCTCTGTATCAATTTCTATCCAATAAATGTCTCCTCTCTTACTCTTTGTATCAATTTCTATCCTGTATCAGTCTCTTCTCTTCCTCTCTGTATCAATTTCTATCCGGTATCCGTCTTCTCTCTTACGCTCTGTATTAATTTCTATCCTGTATCCGTCTCCTCTCTTCCTCTCTGTATCAATTTCTATCATTTATCCGTCTCTCCTCTCTTACTCTCTGTATCAATTTCTATCCTGTATCCGCCTCCTTTCTTACTCTCTGTATCAATTTCTATCATGTATCCGTCTCCTCTCTTCCTCTTTTAACTCTTTTCTCCTCTTTGCCCTGCAAATTATTTATCTCCATTGTGGTTTTCTTCTATTTTTATCTATGGTAAAATCTTTAAACATCAAATAACGACAATTTTCATGAAAGTGAATAATTACACATGCACGTTGTAGCCCTTTAAAGGAGGAAAAAGAAGGAAAATGGGAAAAAGGAGAAAAACTGTGGAAGAGGATGAAAATGCAGGAAAAAGGAGGGAAAATGGGGAAAATGAGGAAATCTTAAGGTTGGTAGAAGAGCTAGCCTGGATCAAGGCCGTTCAGAAAACCTTTATCCAAATGAAATCTCTAGGTTGGGAGAACAGTGCTCCCGGAGTAAGGTTTTTGTCTCCGATGACATAAGTCGCCTACACTCGATCCTCTCCAGGTATGTGCAAGCACTGAATAGATATTTAATTACAACAAAATAAGACAAATCCTCTATTTTCCTATTTTTATCTGATTTTTTACCTCAGGACTTGAAGACCTTTATCTGTAATACAGAGAGAAACAACACTCAGTCTTTTCAGCTTAGGAACCTAAATAAAAATTAATTTGATCCTGGAAAATTTATGTCGCAAAAACTTGAGATTTCGACCTTTGAATTCTGATAGATAAGGGTAAAGGAATTTGATTACTTAGTGTACACTACAGTAACTTTTTTAAAATTAACAGTTCTATACACAATGTTTCCCAATAAACATGGGAATTAAGTGACGACATTATATCGTCTCTTTGATCCATCCAGCATTTTTCTTAAACACAGTTATAGCAGTATTCCAGTGTAAACATCTAATATCGAAGACGCCCGATCTTGAGATTTTCAAAATGTGGTTTACCATTTTTGTATCTTCAAAACTGAAATCCAAGACGGACGTCTTTCAAGTCGTCTCTCAATTCCCATGTTTTTTGGGACACCCTGTAGTTCATTTGTTTACATGTTTCATATATATATTAATTAATGCCAATGTAAAAAATTTGGCTTGTTTATTTGTATCCATTGAATTTTAAAACATATTGGACCCAATTTTTTGCAGTTTCTCACATGACCCCGGGGAAGATTTTTTTTTTACAGTAAAAATTGAAAAATTATGTTTTTTTGAAGTCCAAAAATGCTAACAGAAAATTCGGCTAAAATTTAGTTTAACAATGGTGAAAAGAAAATGGCGACTTGAAAAGCAACATTCAAAAGATAAAATTTAATTAAGAAGGGGTTGCAACACGTCATAAATTAAAGCCTAGTTCTATAAAGTTTAAATATATTTGTTAAAAACTTTTTGAGAGTTACCTTTCTAGTAATAGTTTCCAGTCCTTCGTCTGTAATCTTGGTGTTATCAAGGTTTAGCTCAGTAAGGTTGGGGAATAGAAGAAATAAGAAAGAGGAGAACAGTTTGTCGGAGATATCAACTCCGTTAAGGTTTAAAGCTTCCATATTGGCAAACCTTTGGTTGAAGATCTGGAAAGAATTATCCACTATGTTTCTGTTGTTACTGAGGTTTAACACTTTTAGGTTTGGACAAGATTGAAGAATATCTTGAACATCTTCGGAGATGAGAGAACACCCAGATATATTCAACGATCTAGAGATTGATTCATATTTATTTTATCATCATGTAAAAGTTAAATCGTGAAAAATGAATAAATTAAGAAATATTTTTAAAATGTTTAAACAAATAAAAACATTGAAACTTTTTATTATCATAAAAGATCTACAATTTTATCAACTGAAGGCATATCGTTAACATTATTGTGCATTTTAATCAAATTTTTTTTAGTTCTAAAAAAATGATTGAAACTATGAATCAGAAAGTTCTCCTATAAAGCGCAGGTTTTAATTGTTCTTGGCTGGAAAACTGTATAGTTCCAGTTTACCTTAAAGCTGTATTTTTCTGATTTAACTCCAACCTAGATTCTCTTTGTCTCGGGTTCCTGGAGACATCAAGGTTCTCTAGACTAGAGAATCCACTGAGAATGAGTTTAAGAGACTCCAGTGTTATATTGGTTGCGGAGAGATTTAATGTTCTCAGGGAAAAGCTAAACCTGCTCCTAGATAAGTCTTCAATACCCCTATTTGATACTTCTGAAATGAAAAGAGAAGATAGGTTTATAATTCTAAATCTAAATGGTTTGTGTAATGCTCAGCCACATTGTTTGAACTGAAAAATCACAACTTAAATATTTAATTGAACGCTTTAAGTTTGATTCCGTGAAATAGACTTATCAGATTTCTTGAAAATCGCCAATATTCTATGTCTAACGCGGTTTTTGAAAATTCGAAAGAAAATATTTGTTGTCTATGACTCCCGGAAAGTAAAGGGTAAAGGGTAAAGGGTACCGTTGTGAAACGAACATGCCACTCCACAGTTCCTTTAATCCTTTTTGCAAACTGTAAAAGAAAGAAGGAAATTATTTAAAGAACCCATTAACCTCTAAACTTTTGGAATTTTACTCTTAACAAAACTTTTACCTGAATTTTGACTGAGATTAAGGTATTTAAGTTGATAAATTCCATAAGATATCTGTGAAACGGTATGGTTGGTAGCATACGTTGATTCTAGATCTAACTCAACCAAACAATCTTGTTTCTTGATAACCTCAGCGGCATTTCTTAGGTTTAAACTGCACCTTGGAGTTCGTAACTTCCTGAGTTGAATAGATGTAACAAGGTGGAGAGGAATAGAAGTATCTAAATCACAACCATACAACTCTAGGTCGACCAGGGAGGGCAGGGATAGTATTCTCTCCATCTCCTCTAATTCTATTTCAACATCATAAACCCTCAGGGTTTTTATCTCCGGGTGGTTTTTCACCAGATAGAGTAGATCTCCAGTCTTAGGATAGTATACATCTACCTCTTCAATACTGGGTACAGAGTCAGAAAACTTCTTTATCCGTTCCAACCTTTCATATTTGTTCAGGTTTATCCGTCCGTCCACTCTCCAGATCTTCTTCTTCTCCAGGAGCTCTTCAGCACGGTAATTAAACAATCCCAGAACCTTGAGTTCGGTAAACAGTCTTCCTCTCACTAGATGCTAGAATAGTTTTTATTATTCTTTTACTTTTAAGAGACTCAACAAAATATTTGATCTTTTTTTTACAGGGTTACCCCCATAAAATGAGACTTTAAGGACGACTGTACAGAATTTATGCAGACTTTGAAAACAGAAAAGTCCAGAAAAACTTAAATGTTTAGTCCTGTAGTTTTAAACCCAGTAATTTTTTATAGTTTCTGTTCATGATAATTGAAAGAACAATTTTTCCTAAAAAGATTTAATAAAAATTAATTGAATCGGGAGCTGTTGATCATAAACTATTAACAGTGGAGTGAGGTGATTAGATAAATGTGATTTCACAATGTTAAGAATTACAAAAATCTGGAGTGCAAATGTTAATGGAGTGCAGAAATGTACACGGCCGAGCTAAATTGAACAAGAGAATATCAGGGGATTAGATTTATTTAAGTAAATGATAGAAGAAGTCATTTTTCGGTTTAAATATTCATACTTTTTTCCTTTCTAGTCTTTGTCTTACTGATATAATTAAATGAAGAATATATCTTATTTTGCAGTCTTATGTTTTTTTTTGTCAATTTTCAGGGCACAGGGATTAAAAAAAAGTTTTACATGTACTTAAAAATATCTTTTTCTACAGATAGGTACATTAAGACTCAGATAAAAAGCATGTTTTAGATTTCTCCTTGACGACTTTTCTATTTAGGTTTTGATTGTTAACAAGCTTTTTTCAAATTACAAATAAACATTAAAAAAATCTGTTAATTGACAGCTTCTCTTTGTTTCCATTTTTAAGAGTATCCAAGCTGTTAAAAAGCTTGGTAGAAATAAAAATTGAAATAGAAAGTCGTCTTTGTTGTATTGATGAATACGAAGACTGTAGTTTCTTTAAACGTAGTTTACCTTAAAAATGCATTCAATTGCAGGATCAGGAAGATTTTGGAACGATAAACTTGATAGTTCTTCTAAAACAACATTTTCTTGAGAATGTTTGTTGATTTCCTGCCTTTCTTTTTGTTCTCCATCATTTTTATTAATTTCCATCATCTGAAAGATATCCATAATTAAATGATAGTACATAAACAACACGCCACAAAGATTTAACATGTTTTCATTTAAAGAAATTGAGTCTTTGCCACAAACTTAAATTTTCTAATCCCCATATCTTTGCACCATGATTTTGTAATACATTTGATATTTCAAACTTAGTTTATTTTATCCAACAGAATTCATAGTTTGAAATATCTAAGGTATACGACTTGGGGTTGCAAATATTTAGGGAATAGAAAATTAGAATTTGCTGCAAAGACTCAATTCCTTTTCATAAAAGAATATTTGATGTTTATAGGTAAATAACCTCTAAATCAACTAATAACATCTGCAGGTTGTACCTTTACTTTGTGATTTAAAAATTTATTCTGACTGTTTTGTACCTTTACATATAATGTAGGTATCAAGAATTTTAAACCTTTTAAATTCATTTATTAATTATCGAAAATATTAATTATAAAGTCATTTTTTTAAATAAAAACTAGAAGACCAGAATTTGGAAAACTCGAAGAATCTGTCGGAACTGAAGGAACATCTGGAACTGCTGGAACTAAAGGAATTGCTGGAACTGCTGGAACTGAAGGAACTGCTGGAACTGAAGGAATTGCTGGAACTGATGGAACTGAAGGAACTGCTGGAAATGAAGGAACTGCTGGAAATGAAGAATCTGCTGAAACTGAAGGAACTACTGGGACTAAAAAAGTTGTTGGATCTAAAGTAAATGCTCCACTAGAGGAAGATGCTGAACTACTGGAAGTTACAGTTTCCGGTTTTAGAAGACTAGCCATGTTGTTAATTGCTTTTTTACTGTGGAAATATATTCCTATGGCATTGATTCACTTTTCCAGCCATGAAAGTCTATTATCTGTTGAGCTGGTGCACCATCGTCAGCTGCACCAGATACAGAAGATCGACGGAATGAGTGGAGGGTGAAATCCTTGATTTGATCCTTTCCCTTGCCCAAAGTGAATAAATACTAAAGTGGAACAGACTAAGGCAACGACGACAAGTTGGGCCATAAGGTTTTATTTGGTTTGGATATAATTGCATGAAAAGATTTCTTTTGAAAAGTAAAGACTAGAAAAAATAGACTAAAGACCCATGTAAAAGTGAAGACCAAGAGATAAATTTCGAAGATCTTCACTTTTCGGTATCACAAATTGTGCATTCCTTGTTTTACAGATTATGCATACAGATTGCAGGCATTATTGTACTGTCTGAAATTATTTCTTGTGCAGTAAAATGTCTAAAATTCACTTCTGAAATCTTTATTTACGTTAATTTATATTTAAGTTAAATACAAATTCTAAGTCTGTGCTTGTAAACGGAGTCCAGTTTCTGTTGTACTGTGCACTCCGTACAGACCAATTTATACATATACAGGGTGTCCCAATAAACATGGGAATTCAGGGACGAATTCGATATCGTCTTTGTTATGAATTAGCATTGTAATACCTTATTTCAAAAGTCATAATATTATTATGTCTGCTAGAGTTTATTTTATGAAAAGATGTGTCTATAATGTCTCCGCAAGATGAACAGAGAAGACAGACAAGTTTACTCTGTTTCAGTTTGTATACTGAAATTTTCTTGTTTAACTAAGTACACACCTTATGCAGTCGAAACATAAACAAACAAATTGTAAACATAGCAGACGAAAATCTTAAGGATTAGAGATGTCTCAGTAGGTATCACCACACTAAATCAAAGAATTATTTAAAAGACGATATCGAATTCGTCACTGAATTCCCACGTTTTTGCGTAACATCAATAACAAAGGCAGCCGATCTAATGTAAACAAACATGAGTTAGTATACGGTACGTGAATCTTCATCTAACGCCAGAGATGCGCCAGATGTCTGTTTATCATTTGTGTTATTGTTTACAATCTTTATTATTGTTGTTACGCAAAAACTAGTTCTTCCGCAGTCCAAAAACGTCACAGCAAAGAGTACGGAAACCCTATCGCCCCCTCCTTCTATTCGATTCTCCTTGGTCTAGGTCAAAACTCAAAGTTTCGTGTACACTTGTACATAGTCCCTCAATGTACTGTATAACCTCTTTTGTGTACAATGAAACTAAATAGCTGCCCAGGTAGTCAACTCTATCATCCTCAGCTAGTTGGAACATATATATTTAAGAAAATCATGTTTTCCCTTGATATTATTAGAAATTTTCACTTTCACATATATATATTTAAGAAAAATCATGTTTTCCCTTGGTATTATTAGAAATTTTCACTTCTCATATATATATATTTAAGAAAAATCATGTTTTCCCTTTCCCTTGTTTTTATTAGAAATTTTCACTTTTCAGACCATTTTTTTATTTATGATGTTGAAGTTTCTTTTAAATACTTTGACATTTTGACTAACTCCATATTCACCATGAATTTTCACATCTTTATATTTTTTAACTTAGTTTGTTACGAGAACTGCACTTTTGTAAATATTTCTAGGTATTAATTCATTTTCTTTTATCAGCTGACTCAGCTGACTGTAGCCTACGGTTTACGGTAGCATCTACTCAGTTTAAACTAACAGACAATAAAACTTTGCTTAAATTTGTCGTAAGCAGGGAGTCAGGAATAGAAGGGAGATACAACTGACGCGGTTCGCCCTACCATATGATTATACATGCTTTGCAGACGGGTACTCCATTTGAATAAGAAATATTTGTCTGATGTACAATTACCGCGTATGTAATAACCTATTCTAAATATTTTTTAATACAAATTGAGTACCCGTCTGCAAAGCATGTATAATCATATGGTATGGCGAACCGCGTCAGTTATATCTCCCTTCTATTCCTTACTCCCTGGTCGTAAGTTAAAAATGTTTATTTTTTTTGGTGGAAAACATGCTTTTTTTCCGGAAACACTTCAAGAATTGAAACAAGTTGATTTAGAACAATACGTGCTGAGGGTTTTCTACACTAAAAAACCAGACCCTACGATTTAAAAAGTCTCAACATTTCGTTGTAAATCTCAGGATCGAGCAATGATCTTCATGCGAATCTACACATTTATTTATTTCCTCTTTTATACGATCCCGTCATACTATAGCAGGGATAACTTTAATTCAGAGATCAAGCATTGATCCTCAATATCGAGATCAAGCATTGATCCTCAATATCGAGATCAAGCATTGATCCTCAAAATCGAGATCAAGCATTGATTCTCAATATCGAGACCAAACATTGATCCTCAATATCGAGATCAAGCATTGATGCTAAATATTGAGATCAAGCGTTGATCCTCAATATCGAGATCAAGCATTTGTCCTCATCGAGATCAAGTATTGATCCTCAATATCAAGATCAATTATTAATCCTCAATATCGAGATCAAGTATTGATCCTCAATATCGAGATCAAGTGTTCAAAATTATCAATTTCCACATAAAAGTTCTGACCGCAGACGTGTCCGAGATTTACTTATGTGTGTATTACAAAATTTTAATTCTTTTCATAATATTAATCCTCTGTCCGAATTTAATGAATTTAAGGCTTTAAGCCGCGCGTCTCAAATCCACCGAAAACCGGTTTCTATTGAGCGCCGCCTTGAATCTTGAAAATTTTAATAAAGTTCTAAGTGGAACCAACCATATTTCAGCCGCAGCTTAAATTCTTTAAATTCGACCTCTGAACATAATTAAGAGATATGTCAATGTGAGATATCCCAGATATTTTCTTCTCGAAAACAGTTTTTAGGGACTGTAGACGTAATTTTAAGAGTGCCCGACATATATCCCATTCACAACGGTACCCGTTAAACCTTTGCCTGATCAAGGATGAATGAGTCATCCTTGTTTTTTCTGATCAATTTTTTATGAAGTTTCTATTTAAAGTAATTTGGGGATTTATATATTAGTGACAGATGGCGAAATTTCAGAAACGACTGTACGAAATTTATGCTTCCTTTTATTCACGGTTCTTTCATCTTTTGGAGGAAACCCTGTACTTCATCAAATAATTCACGCAACCTCCGTTATATTGAGGTTTAAAGTATTATCTCTTCTAAATTCAGGTTGTTGTTAGCGTTAGGCAAGGATTAAAGAAGGAAAGATTAATAACCTGTGTCCGAATTTTATGAATTTGAGCCGCGACTTAAATCCGCCAAAACCGCTTTCAATTAAGCACCGGCTTAAATCTTGAAACATTGAATACAATTTAAAGTGAAACCAACTATATTTGGGTCGCAGCTTAAATTTAAGCCGCCGCTCAAATTCTTTCAATTCGGCCTCAGATCAAATAGAAAGTTCAAAGTACAACAAAATGTTGGATATCATTTGTAAAATTAATGTTTTTTACTATTATCTAAGAAACAAACAAGGGAGATATCGTTCTAATTTTCTTTAAAAGCGACGACATTTCAAACCTTATTCTGATGCAGAAATCCGAGGGTCACCTTTAGAACTCGTAATTTAAACAGACAGTAAAGAGAGGATATCTCCATTCTTTTTTTGCTGAAACAATTGTTAGATGGTTACGGTTGTGAATTTGACATGGAACTAGATTAAAGTGGAAGGACACTTAGAAAATAAGTCCACAGTTCCTTTAAGAAATGAATAATGCACAGCGATTTAATGGTCTCACGCTCTCAAGCTTAAATTGTTGAGAATTTTTCCAATAACTTCTAAAAAAACAAAGCTAACAATAAGTGCTTTACAGTGCTAAAATGTACATGTAAAGGGCTACAGAAAAGCATGAGTGAGTTAGAGCGGTAAAATCTAAGCTTAGAGCGTTGCGACGCTTCAAAGTCAACCCTGTCTTAAAAATTGATGATAAGTTTATAAGCAGGCTGAATCTATGTGAATGATGACAAAGGCTAGATATCAATATGTTACTGAAGATGTTGATCAGTAAGAAGAGTGCGAGTTGGGGTTCAGATTTCAAAACCCCAAAAATGGTTCGAACCTAAAGTAATATATCACCAGCATCGATTGTGATGAAAATCCATTAATCTTGAAATAGGTCCCGAAACTAGTTTTATTACAGAAATAAAGCAAGAAATTCTTCAATTTGAAA